AAAAACTTTTCAACCATCTGCATTCTGACATTGATGTAAAAACTTTTCAACCATCTGCATTCTGACATTGATGTAAAAACTTTTCAACCATCTGCATTCTGACATTGATGTAAAAACTTTTCAACCATCGGCATTCTGACATTGATGTAAAAACTTTTCAACCATCTGCATTCTGACATTGATGTAAAAACTTTTCAACCATCTGCATTCTGACATTGATGTAAAAACTTTTCAACCATCGGCATTCTGACATTGATGTAAAAACTTTTCCACCATCGGCATTCTGACATTGATGTAAAAACTTTTGAACCATCGGCATTCTGACATTGATGTAAAAACTTTTGAACCATCGCCATCCTGACATTGATGTAAAAACTTTTGAACCATCGGCATTCTGACATTGATGTAAAAACTTTTGAACCATCGCCATCCTGACATTGATGACAGAGAGAGACATGCAACAAAAAGAAAAAGTCCTGGCACTGAAAAGATTTTAATCTTTAAAAAAAATGATGAAATTGTGATAGACATCAAAAAAGTGCTATGAATGAATGGAGCACAGAGAAACAAATGAATAGTGGCTGGGCCAACCCAAACTTTCTAAGTGGGTCAGCCCACACTTTCTAAGTGGGTCAGTCCACACTTTCTAAGCAGTGTTTGCCTCAAAGTGATACACTCAAGATGGCCCCACAGGGGAAGAAAGCAAGAACTACTTGGAAGGAGACACATACATACAATGCAGAAATAAGCATAGATCAGATGAATAGTACAAAATATTTTCTGTTTCTTTATCATATTCTAAATCCAAAGAACGTACTATTTTTAATGTAATCCATTTTTATCCACTCCATTTGTTTCTATGTTTCTATGACTCTGACTGTTGCCACATATAAATACAGTATAAACATTACTTACATCATCCTTTTCAGCAAAGTGGCACTGCAGTGGGATTTTAATTTTAGTAACATCGCACAGCTGATCAGATGGGATGCCGTAGAAGGGGGCGGCGGCATCAATCTCAGGTACCAATGCTGCGGCGGCCATGGACAGGGCTCCGCCCATGCAAAAGCCGGTGACACCCACTTTCTTGCAGCCCTGTTCTTTCAGATACCTGGTCAAGTTGAGGATAGAAGTATTGATCTCATCCACACAAAATGAAAAATCTGTGTTCAAATGCATTAAATGGCTTTCATTGGAAATATCAAGATCTTCTTGCCATACTTTTATTACTGGCACTGGTAATTGAAAGATAATATTAAGGATTGTATTAGCTAATTGATAAGATTGATATAAATATTAAATTTGTGTATCTTATAATACTTTTTAATGTTTTTTTAGAGAAAAAGTCTATCTCAAAGTAGGAATCAGAATGCCATTAAAAGAGTATGAGCATTGAAAGAATTCCACTAAATTAATAATAATAATAAAGATTATTTCAAAATCACGCTTCATCCCCAAAGGCTCAAAGCACGGTACATACCACATTGAAGTACAAAATTCAACATTACAAAACTGCATACAAAAATACCCATTCTACGTCTTTCATACCTTGCAACCATAAACAAAACAAGCCAATAAGCATCTAAAAGATAATAGTTAGATAGACAACATCACCCCAGCAGGTGTTTGCGAAATAGATAAGTCTTCAAATCAGTTTTGAAAGACTCCAAGGTCTGGCTGTTTCTGAGAGCGATAGGAAGAGTGTTCCAAATTGTTGGACCAGCAAATGCAAAAGTGTGTCCCTCGTAAGTCTCAAGGCGAACTTGTTATCGAGAGTTTGCCACTATCAGATGAGCGGAGTTGTCTAGTGGGTACATAAGGTGTAAGTAGCGCTTTGAGATAGGTCGGTGCCAGGTCATGCAAGCAGCAGTAGCACAGAGTTGCAATTTTGTACTCTATGCGCCCGCGGACAGGCAGCCAATGCAACTCTCTCAGAGGAGTTTTAGCATGGTCGAATTTGCGTTTTCGAAGAACAATGTGAGCCGTATTATTCTGTGCTTTTTTAATTTTATCCAGGAGCGTAGCTGGAAGACCCACCATGAGAGCATTGCAGTAGTCCATGCGTGGTAGCATGAATGCAGACATCACCCTCTTTGATGCGTCTAATGTTAAGAAAGGTCTGATATGACTAATTCTGCGCAGCTCTAGAAAAATCGCATTGCAAAGCATGTTAATGTGATTTCCATAGTTAGTGTTCTGTTACACACTATTTGAGCAAACTCTATCTGTATACCTGAGAGAGTAAGGGTTTGTGTGTTATTTATATATTGTAGCTTTTGAGCGGTAGCAATGGGGATCAGCTTGGTCTTTTCATTGTTCAGTTTAAGCTTGTTTATGACTGTGCGCAGAAGGCGTCCTAGCTTCCTCAAGTCAAAGTCGAAGGTGACTGGGAAGTGATCAGAAATAAGTTTGTCTTCAATAATGAGGTTGCGGATAATAGCTGTACGGTCCTCTCTGACAACCAGCCAATCTAGGATGTGACCCCGCTTCTGTGTCGGGACACTGACTAGCTGAGTCATTCCGTTGTGTGTCAAGAGCTGATTTTAGGGTCTTCACGTAGCTGTCGGTGGTGGAATCAAAATGACGGTTTGTGTCAATATGCAGCTAGCGAGGCAAAAATAAACCTTAATTATAAAGACAGATGACCCCTTGTCTGCATCACAATATTGTGATAGTGCCCCCCCCCCCCCCCCCCCCCCCCCCCTCATTTCCAAAAGAAAGGAGTTGGTGAAATTAAATTTAAAAGCTTCCCTTAGCCTTTGTAAAAATTTTCCAACTCAAAAAAAAAAAAAAAAAAAAAGATGTCTGGTGACAAACTTACTTGGCAGCAGCTCTGATGTCTTCAACGGCCCCTTTCCAGTCCAGTTCACCCATGTAGTGACCAGCTTCCTCATTGTTCTTGGCCACCTTTTCTCTGTACAGGTCAGGGACAAGGGTGACCATGTCGATACGCCCACAGATGTCCTTGCCACAATCCTTGATTTGGTCGTTCGCACCCCACCATTCCTATGGAAGAAGAAGGAAGCAACCAAAGCATTTTAGAGTGCTGCAGTTAGAAACAACACATGAATAGAAGAAACACAATCAACAGCAATGAAGTTAGAAATAATACATTTTAATTAGACTGACAATCTACACCATGAGTTAGATATAATACATGTCAATTAGACTAGCATAATGTCTAGTCTGGTGTTTGAACAATGGAAGTAAATACAAATACAATAGTCAATGAATTCTACTTTGTCTGAGTTATGTGTCCACCAGCAAATTCATTTTATTTTCATCAATGATATCTCAGAAAATAATATAAAGCCATAGTAGAGCAGTGGATTATAAAACTGATTGCTCTAAATCTGCTGCCAATTCTTTGGCTGTGAACCAATCAAAGGGATAAGCCACATCCCATAGTTACTGCCCTCACTATAGCTTTAAATTATTTCAGGGGATTGAATGCAAGCTTAAAATATAGATTTGCAAAAAGTCACAATCCTAATCTAAGAGATATGTGTGCAAGACCCCCTAAGTTCCAATCCTAATCTAAGAGATATGTGCAAGACCCCTAAGTTCCAATTCTAATCTATGAGATGTGTGCAAGACCCCTAGGTTGCAATCCTAATCTATGAGATATGTGTGCAAGACCCCTAGGTTGCAATCTTAAAGTCCAGTCTGTCCTCACCTGTAGAACAATGATGCCCTTAGTTTGTTTCTTGGGGTCTCCACACAAGAAACCTGGACAGAGACCTAACTTGTTGGCACTTTCAAACTCGACCCTTTTGGAGGCGGCCATTGTACTTAGCTGTCAAACAGAAATACATTTCAATGTTTAGACAAAAAATAACAAGCAAAGTTCAAAGCTGTCAAATACAATTTTATGTTTTAACAAAAGTCAAAAGCCACACAAATTTAAAATAACAAGCACAGGTACTTCTAAGAAATGGCTGAAGGTAGTCAGGGCAGGCAATATCATAAGTGTCAAATACCATACTTCTGATGGTAGTGCAGGGCAGGCAATGTCACAAGTGTCAAAAACCATACTTCTGATGAATTTCAATGACCAATTACAGACAGAATTTAAAATGTTTGAATATGAGTTGGTCCCATTCACCAAGAGAAATGTTAATCTTGCTTTAAACCTTTATTAATCATACTGGAATCATTTTTATTGCTCACCATTTTCTATCAACTTCATGTGACTCTTATCTATTTTGTTTTGTCTAATGAACACAACTTGTGCCTATTTAGAGAACTTTTGTCTGGTGCTATATTAAAAGTGTATGTTTGCCAGCTAAGGTTCATTGCTCCACACGGCTGTGACAAAGATTGCCACTATTCTTTATAACCACCTAGTGGATTGAAACCTGGTCCCTACATCATCACATGGACATTCTCATAGCAATGTGGCCAATCAATGCACAGAAGATGTAGTGTAACTGAAAAAGGGGGGGGGGGGGGGGGGGGGGAGGAATGATCCCAACTAGCACACAGACCACACAAGTAAATCATTTCTGTTAGTTAATTCTTCCAGTGAGGCACAGGTCAAAAACAAAGGCCACTAGCTTATGTTTAAGTGCAGAGCTGTACCTCAAGTCTAGGTCTGTGGTAATATACCACATTTAACATCGGCCAGTATAAAAGTACATTGTCACTGTTCAGTGGTTTCAAACTATCTGATGGGATGTTTTATAGGCAGGAATATAACAATGTGGCCATGCTATAAATCAGGGGTTCCCAACCTTGATGGCGCAAATCCAAGGAGTTTCATTTCTTGCATTTCAAGGGGTTCTCAACATTGGTGATTCACCCTAAGGGTTTACTTATGACATTTCAGGTGTTCCCAACCTTGGAGGTGCAGCCCTAGGGGTATTCAAAATCCATTTCAGTGTGCTTTAAAAAAAAAAAAAAAAACTAAATTAAATTATCCTTGGTTTTCTTGGTATACTGGGCTCTGAGAACGTTAGAACCCTCGTTTTAGCAGTAGTAGATGCAAACAATTGTCACACATGTCCAATGATAACAAGCAGTGCCGGATTTCGCTACAGGCTAAGTCGGCTTAGCCTTGGGCATCCAACAGTTAAGAAGCAACAATTGATAGATTCTCAAGCTTGAAAAAACACTTTCTAAACTATATAAATTATAATACAATTTTTGTTAATGATTTTACCTTAAGTTTTATATCATTAAAATTATTGTTTTAATTTTTTAAGCTCTGTGATCTATACGCAACAGCTTCTTAATTTTTTTAATATTAAGGCCCAAATTTACAAGCTGGAGAATACATTTTAAATGCTCCACACTGAGCCATGACGATTCAGTGGAAGGTCTGTTCATTTATTTTATCCGAGATCAGATCAAGGGGTTTAACTCATGACTTACGGGAGGATAGCTGTAGACAGAGTTACGCTGAGATGGTTTAAAAAAAAAAAAAAAGACATCAGTTTAAGAGAGCGGTGGGTTTAGATGCTACATTTGTAGTACATAAAGACATTCATAGGTAGGGCCTATCTGGTAGAGTATTATGACAGAATACCGTAAACTGGCCACCAACGACATCAACACAAGCATTATGACAGAAGATTCTGTTAATTTAACTCAGCTCCAACAACTTTTATAGTACTTAATTAAACAACTTCATATCTATAAACTCAAATAATGGTAAACATTCAAATAACAGTAAGACAACTCGTAAAGAAGCTTGTTTTAAAGACAGGATTGCTATATTTACAAAGAAAAAGTCCGTTCTCTGCCCCACTCCCCTGACAGGAAAAACGGGTCTCAAATGGCCCGGTTTGAACGTTACAAACTTTATTTGACCAGTTTTTTTAGCAACAAATGTCAATAGACATGTCAACGGCAAAGCCAAAATTATTCAGCAAAGTACACTCTTTTTTTTTTTT